ACACCTATTGAATGATGTTTCTGAGGACAGACATGAAAAAAAGTATTCTTCAATAATTTTGTAATGCATTCCAACTGCCTCGTTATGAAAAGGAATGGATCTAACCACCTATAATGCCATCAGCTCATTTTCGGAAGGAAATCATTTTCCCATAGCGGATAATGAATGTTTACGTTGATAGTGAGTGAAGGGGCATAGAAAAGGTCAACACCTTGCTTCACCCCGTGTGTGCGGCATCTTCAAGGCAGAAGGGAGATTCAGAAACTAACGTACAGTAGTGGAGGCAAATAAATAGAAATAGACTATGGTTTCGGAAGAAGATCGTCCCTCGAATTTGAAAAAGATATCAAGGAACTACATGGCGAAATCTGGATGAATCTGAATCTGAATACAAAGTTGGTATATCTCTGTTTAACAAAGTTTTTTAAACCATTACGATATCGCTTCGTTTCTTCAGTAGATAAACTGTCCAGTGTTAGCATTACTCCTACCAGTACCATTTAAAATAAAGATGTGACTGACGCCACTGCAGCGCATCCTCCCTTTCTGAGTAAAATAGCTTTATACACTCTCGGACAGGAAACACCCTTCATTTGTAGGGGAAAGGCTGAAGCATCACACAAAGGTATTGGTCGAACGTAGGCTTCATAAGTTCGTTACAACGTGTGCGAATCTTTTGTAAGTAGAGCTTGAAATAAATTACAGGCCCAGTTGGTCAGCCTTAGATATCGGGGTGCCGGAACTTCTCTCCGAATTCCCACAGTTTCGACAACGCGTCGCTGTTTTCGGGGAGAAGATACCGGACCGATAGATACATATCGTGGACCTATAGTGATTATAGAAACATCGAAACGAGAATCTGATTTTAGCAAAGGGCAAAACCCATAAAATGGACCCACTTCTCTGACGTATTGGCAGACAGGAGAACAACAGCCTCTTTCATACTATGATTTTATATTTACACAATCCTTCAGATTTGCTGAAGCTATTTCATATGATATGACGCTATTTCATGGTAATTTACAGGCGAACCAAAAACTTTTGGATTTTCGTACATGTATCCTAAGTCTCTCTTATAGGAAGTGGTCAGAGTAGGCTGTCATGTAGCCCAAGCTTTGTTCCTAAAAACAGGTGTCATTCCTGACTTTTAATTCATGAGCATACGAGGAACCCAATCACGATGAGCTTTTAGATGAGACTGGAATTCACTACTTTCCACATCGTAAAAAGTCTTATCACTGCAAAAGCGGAATCATGTTTTCCCTGAATTCTTGCACTTTGACGATTAAGCCAAATGAAAGTTTACGCGGAGCACTCCCTCTGAGGTACACAACTTGTTTTCTTTCACTTGAGGAACATCAAGGATTAATTCTCTTCTGAACATTCTTCAGCCAGCACTCTTCACGGTCTCAAGCTGATCTGCAGTTATGAAAAACGAGTGAAAAACGGAGAATAGGTCAGAATACTAACTTAGAATCACGGAGGTAACTGTTTTTCACACCCTTTCTGAGTGATCGTTGAAATGCGAATCGGTTGCAATCTGCACTTCCAGAGTATCATAGGGTACATTTCTATCATTTGTGCCAAATTCAACTCAATGACCACAAAAGGAGTAGTGTTTCACTCTGTTTTTGTAATATTTGTCATTAAACACGAAGCTTTGCAAATGTCGCGCTTGTAGACGCCCTCGATGGAGGCGCAGTGGTCTGTTGGCTTTGGAAGGACGAAGTGGCGTTATGAATTCAAATGTCGTCGTCTAGATACGTGGCCTCATCACATATCGATTCTAGAGAGGCGATAACGCAGAAAACGAACAGTCACTCGGCCCATACGCGCTGAACAACAATGTAAAGGCAGACCGTCCAGCGTTGATTCTGCTCTCCAGTTCAATCTGCTATTCCTTGAGACCGAAAATCTCCCTTAAAACTATAGTGGCCTTATGGCCCTCTCATTTTTCAGGTATTCATTCCAATATTCATCGTTCACATCACACTCCTCAACCTGACATCGTCGTTACGCTCTTATCGTCACTCATCATCAACTCTTACCCGCTTGACACTTTGACAATCATTATGATAACCAGCGCTGCCCACTAACTCACGCCCAGCTCGCTACCGCCTCTCTGAGACGGGACGGCCAGTACTAGACTCAAGAGGCAAAATTTGAAAATCTTCAGTTTGTCGGAGATTACTAAGAACAACTCATCTCCACAAGATTCCGTTATTCATAGAAAATCAATCCTTTTCGGTAGGGCCCAACTGTGAGTGATTTTGGATGAACTAGGAATCAGCCGCCATGACAAGGTTTGCGGTTTCTTCTGCCCTCTAAGGCTGTTATGACCTAAACACGCTCTACCTCAAAAGTATCTTCTACGAATAATTCTATGCCATGCTGTTCAATTCGTAGTGAGACCCGTTCAACGGCGAATATCATTACTGCCGAATCAACTGTGATGTTTCTACTTACAAATGTACTCCATTTTTTCTCTTCCTTCCTCTCTAGAGGTAATTATAGTCATCTGGGCCATGATCACATGACCATAGTTGGAAAAAGCTGCTACTCATGTCGGAATCTGATGCAGTTCTCGTCGTGGTACAAACACACCTGTAATGAAATAATCAAGTCTATCTAAATAACATCCAAAAGCTGTGCAGTGGTACTCCAGTGGAATCGCAGTAATGGCACCCGAAGACTTCAACATCTCACCGAATAAAATGGCCGTCATACATTCTACGAAAAGAGGCATCGCTGACTGACTTGAAACAACGCTACAGCTCTCCAACAGCCTCTGTCATCAAACCCTGGAGTGAAGACTGCTTCTCGTCCTCAATTTCACACACACACACTAGCCGACTTCACTAGCCATTCCTCACATGAAGCCGCTGCTACCTGTTCTGCCATTAAATTGTTCTGTCCATGATAAAAATGGTTTCTGAGATTCCCCCAGAGGATGAATTTAAGGCCCCGCCTATACCATAACTGCCACTATTAGGTCCGATAACGGCTTAGTTAGGGAGTTATAAAGGCTCGAAGATTGGCCCGTGTGTATCCTCGGACGAGTTTCACTGGCATTTTAGAGGCTGCACCGATCACAAGGGAACCCATGTAGGAAGTTCAAACAGCTTGTCATGACCCATAGCAACAGTGAAAGGCAATTCTGGACAGTTTTGGCTTGATAGAGTCAGCTCTTTGTGCAATTGCAGTTTCCGAAATCTCGTCCGAATACCCCTTCCATGTTATTTCCGTCATGGCAATCTCGTCCAACCTCTATCCTCCCTACTTTTGACGTGCCATATTTTTCTCAAAATCGGCAAATTCTCTCGCTTTCTTCACTACCGATGAACTATTCCCAATCTATACTTCCGCTTATCGACTAAAAATGGGTACCTCAAAATTATTGTGAACTGTGCCTTTAACCAACATGCATGTTCGAAATGGAACAAACCTGATCCTACGTCGTAGAGCTGCCCGATGCTATAAAAAAATCCGGACTAAATAATTCCGCTTCAATTTTTTGACCAGAATTTCCACAAAACTGGAGCCATCGCCCAGAAACAGCAAAAACCAGCATCACCTTTATTGAAGATTAATAAATAAATATGACATCAAGAATGAAGTACCAGAACAAAATCCAATTCTATGGCAACTATGATATCTCAGAGGGAATCGGCAAGGCACATTTACTGTCAAGTGAGAAATATTCACAGTTGAGAATAGAGACACGTGTTTCCTAATTTGCAATTTCACACATCATTTTTTTGAAAAAAAAAAGCAAACTGAAAGAAAAGGAAGAAAACAAACTGTGCCGAAGGTCAACCCATGGAATTTCGTTTTTTTACGTGAAAAAAAAATCGTGTGAATATGCAATAACAACACAAGTTTTGAACAGATTATGGCTGTCAGCCAGATTAACAACAAAAACACTTTATAAAACCTCTTCAAAGGAATTTTAAAAAGGAAAAAAGTAGGAAAATTTTTTAAAGTTGAAGAAAAGAATCCTTCTAAAAGAATGTTCACACATGAACAATCAAATGGAAAAAGAAAAGAAACACTGAAATAAAAATGCACAACATATCACAAGGGTACTGCATACTGAGAACAATTGTCTATTTGGTAAGCAATGAACGAGACGTCCTAAATACCGGCACCAAATCACAGTGTTATAGTATAATAGATATTTATTTGCATCGTCCTGTGCTCACACGGTCCATCTTTGGTCAGGCTGTATACAGAAGGAGTGCTGAGGAAGACTTCTTACTAATCCTATTATTGAATTTTACTGTAGACTTCATCCGATCAATAACTCATCGGCTGCTTTCATAGCCCACGATTTCGCGAGCGACTGGTCGCGGAACTACCTCGCGAGCGACCGGCGACCAGTCGCGCGATCGGTCGCTCGCCAAATCGTGGACTATGAAAGCAGCCACCCAACCTTTTGGTAACAACTTCCTTCACGCTTTTATCATCATGGAGGTCGATCTACTTCTAGAAGGCAAGCTACTAAATACCCTGATGGTAACAAATAATTCCAACTGGATTTCATTAAGTTTTTTCTCCATTGTCATGCTTTGAAGGGGGAAACCCAGGGATATGAGGTAGGGCAGATAAAATTCAAAATGCTCTGAATAAATGTAACGAATTACCTTTTTTCTTAATGCTAAGGAAGCAGTAATAAGGGTGATACAGTAAAAATTACTCAAAATATTTCCGACATGGTTTTGTTCACACTGGGCTCACTTTTAGGAGCTCAACCTCAAGAAGTAGAACGGCCTGGGAAACCGAGCTTAGTTTATGTGAGGCAAAAATCAAAACAAATTGAATGCTCATATCTTTCCAGCCAGTTATCTGGAAAAGAGCCAACGATTGAAATGCTTTGAAAAAAGCATTCACGTGATCAGATGAAATCCATGTGTATAATTTCACGTTCTGGAGCGATTTGTACTCATCTCCAGAGGAGGGCGACTTTGATGATTACATAAGTGGATTGCCTCACACACCGACTAGTCTTCATTATTTTCAACTCTGAACGCATCTAGTGGTTCGATTTTAATCGCATCCAAACCATCCATTTTCAGGTCAAGACCCATTGTGCTACTGAATGCTGGAAACAGTCCACTGAACGCTTCTGGTAGACTTCTTCGATCCTCTACCACACTCGTTTGAAGATGTGTTTTCTTATGCCGTAATAAATTATCTTTTCGATTGAACCTGAACACGTTACTGCAGTTTGAGAAAGTAATAAATCGTCACACATAGTTCATAGCCATTGTTGTCCCCAATTTGCTCCCTGTTTCACAGCACAGTAAGTTATTGAAGTGAGGTACAAACCCTTCAAAATCATCTGCACCACTAACTGGATCCCAGGGAGCAAACCAGAGTAATGGGACCTGACAACTTACCGCTTGCTGCAATACGGACAGGTATGAGGCCGAAGTCCTGTGTGTATAAATTGATGTTTCTTCAAGAGGAATTTGTTTGCAAATCTCTTATTACAATTCGTATGCTCACAGATGAACGGCTTATCTGAAATTACATCAACAACATGTATGAGTAAGTGAAAAATCGAGAATACCAAAGAGTCCATAACAAATTTCCCTCTTTTCCCGGTCCCAAAGTCCTTTCCCTCTAATTCGAGGTCGTAACTCCCTTCATCGTGCCCGTTTTCTCGTCGTGTTCTCTCTCTCAGTGTGTGTGCGAGAGATTGATGACAGAGAACGGAGCGGATGACCTCCCATGCCCTCATCCACTCCCGTGATAACATCTCTCCAAGAGAGGTCCACCGCCGATAGATTGAAATCGCACCCCTGTACACCTACATTTCAGCACACACACACACCTACACACACTCATCTACACACACACTAACCTCGCTGGCGATTTTGCGCTAGCGGTCACATAGATGCATACATTGAGAGAAAGATGCACTCAGATACACTTCACAGTCTCCTCAAACCGACAAGAAACAACTGCATCATCGATTCAAGTGGGAACGCCAGCAACCCTTGAAGAGTCCCAAGACGAGTATAATCAAAAAGTGGAAGACGGCTGCTCGAATTTCAAGCCAGACCGTAACCCAGTAGCCGTACTCGAGAAAATTCATTGATAGTCTCCAATCTATACTTACCAGAATCATTGTCGTAGCTCATCTCAGTCAACGGGAAATCGTACTTCGTGTCTTCAGATGGGGAAGGTGAACTATCGCCATCATCAGCCAGTTCATCGGTACGATCTTCAAAATTTTCACATTCCACTTGCCCATTCATCCTTCTGAAAATCCAAACACAGTAAAATCCTATAAAAGTAGGAATTGAGAGAAATCACCTATTTGGGTGGAAAGTTGTTTTTTATTGAGGCATTTTAGCAATTACGACAAGGGGGCTAGGGCTTAACCTGACGGAAATTCTAGCGCTACCACTTACTACGTAGTGAACTCCTACACAGTCAAATCAGTGACGTTTCGCATAATTTTGAAGAATTCGAGGGGCCCATGCAGGTAAAACAGGAAATTAGGAGAAGATTATCTTCTGTGGCGGGTCGGTGCAGGGCTGACTTGAAAGGGTAAGGAAAACTCGTCCTTCAATATAGAAGCCATACCCTTTACGGATACAGTAGCTTTTTACTCAAAACGCAATTGTTTTCTAGTGTTCACAAAAAAGATCATCTCTCGAATTCTTCCGGAAGAACTGGCCAAAAAAGTCCATCTTTCGGATTCTTTCAGGATAATTGGCCGGGACATTTTCTTGCAAATCACTTTGCTCCAGCCTGCAATTTTGATACGATTCAGGGCACCTCAAAGTCGAATACGAGGTCCGAAAGGATCAATCACGGGATATAGCTGCTCTGTGCGCTTTCCATCAAGTTCTATATGTTCCCATGAAGGTCTTTTGGTCACATTTCTCCATAGGGAACATTACAATAATCAAATTAGCAAGGGCAGTTCACTGAGAAATAGATTAAAAGTGGCATTGTGACAATTTCAACGATAAGAAGTCGGCTTCTGAGGGAAACGATCTTTGATGGAGTCGCCAGGTCATTTATTTCAAAAAAACCGCCCTAGAACTTTGTATGTGCAAGCGGTTCATCGGAACTTATCACAACATTGAGTTCCCCGGCAGAGGCCTCGAGCCTCCAACTGATAAGAAGACTGTCTTGTGCCTAGGCATCCAACTACAACAAGTTTGCTGCTCTAGGAAGAGTTCAAGTTCTTCAAACCCCGGCTACTACTTAGACCAAAAGCTACATTTTGAAGTTTTTTTTTTGTTTGACTTTAGTTCATGTACAGTGTGAGACCACAGTTTAGCGGATCTCATCAACGGGGGAAAGTTATCCTCGCCAGCTGCTTATCCCTTTACACAGTCTAAGACAACTGGCCGATACAAGCATGTTGATTGCCCAAATAGACTCGATCCTTCTTCACTCTGTTGCGCGATCTGGCTGTCCGCCCGTTCATCCATCCTATCCTGTGTGTGTAGTGTAGACAGACGATAACCGCAGTAGCTGCACCAGCAGCAGCAGCAGCAGCCAGCCACCCAGCCAGCCACAAGTCTGCGCGCTCCGTTGCGTCCGTCGGCCCGCCGACGTCGTCGTCGCAGCCACCGCAGCCGTCGTCCGTCAGCCACCAATGAGCGGCGACCGAGCGGGTTTCACTCACTTCATCCGTCTCCGTTCTCGCTTTCCTCTTTCGCTACACCACACCTCCTCCACGAACAACGTCCCATCTCTCTGAGAATCGTTAACTCTCTCCCTATCTCTCTCACAGCCCATCCTCTATCTCGTTCTTCTCCTTTTTGACCGAGGTTCCGAGAGTCATTAGACAAATCGTTATCAATCAGGTTCGTGTGCATGTCAACAAATTCCTCATACCAACGCGGTGCGTATGCGCTCGTTTTTCCCGCAAAACAAGGAGACCGTCGCCAACAGACGACGCAGTAATCAGATGAAAAATGGACATCAGCACATGGCCACGTCGTCGGCATTCCGATCTCCTAGTTCCATATTCAGAAATTTCTACTACTCTTCCCACCTTTCTTCGTGAAAAAGCAGCCGTAGGCAAGCCATCTGATAGCCATTACATTCGATTGACAAACTTGGATCCGAAATTTCTACAACCCTCCTACATGAAACTCCCTCTACCCTCTGGCCCTATACTTGGGAGCGTACAGAAGCACAACTCGGCACGAAACTCACCGGGCGAGGACGCCTCAGAAGTACTGCGTCGTTTTCACACAAGATTGAATGAAAGACCTCGGAAGTGATTCATACATGTATAGCACTGGTACGAATGAATACAACGACTACTGTATATAAGTCAGTATCCCAGTCATTTCAAGGGAACCACGCGTTCTCGTCGTCGTGAGGTCGTGAGATTTCCGATCCCCTTTTGGTCCATGTTAGAAAAAAAGCGCTGCTTATACAATAGCTTGCTAATTTCGCCATCCTCGCCTCCGACGTTTCCCCCCCCCCCCCTCATTGCATAAATCAATACGTTGAAGTTCAATAAAGAGACATGGTGTAGTGTAGGGGGGAAGAAGAAAGTGATAATGCCTGGCTGTAAATCATCTGACATCCCTCCCCGCTTCATTTCCCGTTCTCCACGCACCCATCCTCCATTGCCCTTGCGCCCGGAACAAGACTGTACTCAAAGAGCAGGTCATGAATCGATTGTCACACAGTATGTGCATGTGTACTTGGCGAGGAAGACGACTGGCAATGTGTGATGAATTGCATGAGGTGCGAAGGAACCGGAATCGCATCTCCCAACAAGGTTGATTTATCATCTCGATAATCAGAGTGAACGACACGACACTGCCTTTATGAGAGGAGAGGTCTCTGATGTGTTAGTGCTTGGTGGTTTGGCGGTGGCGTTAGCGGTTAAGGTGATGGTAGTAGATGATCATCATCAAGCCTTCAAGCAATGCCTTTAGGCTGTTCAACTAACAAACTACGACGCTTCATATGCGCTGAATCATACAATCATACTCGCCGCCAAGTCATCAGTAATTGTTTCGGCCATCTTTACGATCGCTGAATATGGCAAAAAAGACGAATAAGCAAGGTAGCAACCGTTCCCGCTTCTCAGTGAGATCCTCGCTGCAGAAACTTGGACACTGGCCAATGCCTCACTGGTTAATAAGTTGGACCGCTGTTTGCTAATGATTTACGCTTCGCTCGTTGGCGTGCCTTGGCAAGCCCGCGCATGATACCATAGAGGGGAATCTGACACGGACGACGGACATGTTGAGGACGTGACGACGATCCCCTTTCTACATTGTGGTGTCTGCNCCCCCCCCCCCCCCCACTTCCCCCCACCTTCTCCTCTCCATTTCTCCTTGCCTATCTATCGTGCACGACGATGGGAGAGATGTCGCACTACTTTACAATCACAAGCCAATGAACTCGCGAGGTGAGAGGCGAGAGAGGCGACACCGTATCACTTGACAAACACGCAGCACTGCGCTCGCGCTCTGGTGCTGGAATACGGTAACCGCAACCACCGCACACACATACACACACACAGACATACACCGCCACTAACCCGCTACCAGAGAAGAATCACCGGAAGTGCTTATATACACATTTACTTATAGATATACATGTACATAGACGCATACATAGCGATGCCATCTCAACAAAAGCAACGCCGTTGCCGCCGGTGTACTCTCATGCGAATTTCGCCGCCGTCTGTTAGCTGCTGCGTCCATATGTGTATGAGGCTTTATGCTATTCAATATACATGACTCAGCATCCCCTTCGAGTGAAAAAGGCGAAGCGAAGGCGCGCACTCTCTCCTCAACAAATGCCAACTGAATTCCAACACACTCAGTCCGCGGCGCGGCACTACTATGTATTCGTATCTCTCAAGTCAAATTCAAAACGTGAAACCCCAAGAAAAGGAGCCTTTGCAATGAGAACAGGCTAGATTTTTCAATGTTCCAAAGACACAGATCAAGAAGACAAGTAAAGAATGAGCGTTTTGAAAAGCAACTGATGCAAAAAAAGCGATAAGATCAATGGGTAGCAAAAGAAAGTCGGAAGCGGCAAACATGACAAGAAAAGCTCGAGTATGTTCCGCGATTTGTAAAGAACCCACATTTGATTGATGACGCTATTGAAAATTGACGTTTGAGGTGTCTGCATCATTCGAATCATATTCAGATACGCTTGTGGATCAAGCGTTGGCGGTTGATATGGTGTGACCGTCGGTGGTGGTGGTGGCTCTTCGAGTTCAGCTTTCCGTTTTTCACTCAGCTTTCGTACAGTGGCATCCAGGCTTCGGCCAGCTTTTCGTTTCGCATTCTGAAAAGGAAAAAGAAACTGAAACCGACTGACTGATCGACTTGCGACATTCTTTAGCGCTGATATATTCTCGCTTTGTAGGGGTTTTTTTCTTCCAAATATCAATCGTTAGTCGTACGTTCGATTCAGTTGAGCGATTCGAATGTATAGGTGAGTGCGCGATTTTAAAAATCTTCTGCATCATACGACGGGAGGGTTGACGCCAAGATGAATTGACGAAGGCGAACATATTGAAAAATGCGAAATGGAACATGCTGTGTCAGTTTCGCTTTTTATCGCAACCCCGGTGTTCCTGAACGGAAAACGCTTGCTCTGGTATGAATTGGCATCGAATCAAAATAGGCTACAGCTCTCTACATATATAATCAATACGGCACGTCAGAATTTCGGTGGGTGCTTCTCGCCCTCGAAGGCATGCAATACGACAATGAAATCAGCAAGCAACAACCAAGGCACGACGGACACCGCGGCCGGCAAATCTCCGTCCGTTTCATCGTCGCCGCTGTCGTCGTAGCGCCGCGAATGCAAAGGTTTTGTCCATGCTTGACCGTGCTGGATGATCAGCATGGATCACCGGGTATCAGGTCTACCATTTATTTACGAACATTTACACCCAAACCCACACCCTCAGGCAGCACTGAACCGAGTCATTTGGGTTAAGCCATCCGATCATATTGGACGTGTTGATTTGTCGTAAACTGACTGACGCAGATGACGGCGACTATCACCTTCCCTATTGCAAATGACCCGAGAGAGGAAGTAATTACTCTGAGTTTCAGATCGATATCAAAACAGGGCGGTAATCAATTAATGAACTGATACGCTAAGCGCGACAAGGACACTCGATTAGCGGTCAGAAAACGACGCAACGCCGAGGTAAGCCGACCAGAAAAAAACAGATCGCAGCCACTTTGAGGATATCGCCAATCAACTGATACTTCTCAAGGTCTCCTCTCTTAGCACTGCGCATATTTTAATTAAAAATTTCAATGTTATTCAAAACAAAAAGACGTGTCATGCGAACACAAAGAGAGACAGACAGACAAATAGCGGTGGTAACAAATCTTATAGGTAAAAATTTAGTAATTGTATTTTTAATGCACAATTAATTCGACCACCTCTACAGCCGCTGATTGATGACTGTGCGTTGGACTGGTGACCGCCGCCTGTCTTTGGGCTAATGCCATTTGTAGGGATTGCTGAGAGACATTGTTGTTCACCGGGGACGAGGACAACAATGGTTTCGGGCTTTCACATGGAGCTGTCGCCTAAATTCACTGAAAGATTATTCTCAAACACAAATCTACACGAGAGTTCTTTGCTATTCACTGAGTTTCGTTCAGTCATCACCTACTGATCATTGCAGCAATCAATAGACTTTCTATTAAGGCATTGAAAAAAGCCCCGACGAGTTCGACTTATGACCGCTGCTGGCGTGCATGTGCAGCAGCCAGAGCGGACACGTTCATCGACTCAAAACTCAAGTCTCAAAACGAAACAATGAAAGCCAGAAATCTCAGGAAACAAGCAGGAAGGAAACATCTTTCAAATGATAACTGACAATATCAAAAGCAGATTAAAGACGGTGGACAAACCGGAATATGAACAACAGGGAACTCGGGCGATGAAGCCGACGTGTTCAGTTTGCATCGCACCGTTGGTGTTGGTGTTTCTCTGAAACAGGCACTGAATCACATTTCAATTGTCGTTGTGATGATAAGATAATGAATGTACGAATTACAGTTATGTTCACCTTGGCTGTGGTGTATCCTCGATACGACCATCAAGAGCATCCGAGATGAATGTTCGTAACGTCTTCAATTCCCGCATGATTTCGTTCTTGTCCTCATCCTTGGAGAGTAACGCCAATGGTAAAATGGTGAGATCGGTGGCGGCGAATTGCATTTGCTCTTCTCTGGTCACTAACAGATCGTAAAGATCGAACACGTCTTCTGGCACAGATGATGTCGTGTCATCAGCCACTTTTGAGCACAGAATGTTCTTGGCCTCAGCGATCGCCGTCTTCGGAAAATACTCGGCAACTAGATTACGCACCTGCGGATTACCGCGAAAATTATGGATAAAGCAGAGCAACGAATTGACGACAACCGGCTGATGATGGTTCATCTCGAGGCGAAGGGGTGAGAGAGGCTCGTCGTTGTAAAGTTTGGTCTCAGCGATGGTACATGGGCGCGCCGTGAACTCGCTTTCGCTCTGCTCCTTATCGTCGCCGATGCCTGAACGAGAATATGCGAGGGTTATCAGTGACGGGTTATCAGAGGGATGTGAGAGAGGCAGGACCGAGGGACGGCAAGCGACAGCTAACACATTCGTCGAATCAAATGAAATGATACAAACAGGAGGGCTAGCAGAGGATGAAGAATAGGAGGGATAAACGAGTGATTTGCTGGAGCGATTATCTCGACGCCGCAACGGTGCGCAGAGGCGACGTTCGACTACGGATTCCGCCGAATGCCACACCACGCCCCTCCCCGCCTCGGGGCGTACCATACGAAACTCATTTACATATCAGCAAGATTCACAGTGCGACTCGCCATCAACCAGCCAGCCTATCGGTGTCGCTATGCGAATAACTCTGGTACAGTGGGACACCTTCCTAAGATCCTCACGGGTATCAGTAACCCAACGGAATTTCGTCATTTTAACACGGTCACCTCAATTAACAACCTAGTAGACGGCTCGGTAGTGCACCAGTTCAGAAAAAGCGATTCAAAGAAAAGGCTTTTGAAGCAATGGTCAGATCGTCTTCACTACACTGTACTCGTAGATGAGCATGAAAGGACGCTCTTTAAAGATTATCTTAACAAATGAAATAATGATCAAAGAAACGAAGAGAGACGACTTGAGTTTCAGCGTGGACTCAAAAAACGATAGAGTGGTAGACGCGATTGGGTTAAATCGCGGGCGGAATTGTTAGAGAGAGAATGAGAGATAAAGAGGTGATAGCGATGATGTGATCATGGTCAATCATGACCGAGAAATCACTAAAAGTCTGTATAATAATACTAGTGATAATAAATAGTAATTAGAAGCATTACATTAGAAACTGCGAAGAACACTACTGCATAATCGGGGTTACATACTAGTTTACAGAATGATTGAGTGTTCTACTGGAAGCAGTATCGTAAAACGAATGTTACAGTCAGTGTTAGTTATAGACTGTCACATTGGGGTGGGGAAGATCTGAGGGACGACATCGACCGATGAGTCGTTACTCTCGTGTGTACACAACGAGTCACTCTCGGATGGATTCATGAGCAATGAGTTCCACTTAAGCCATAGTTACTACAATGACCCTCGGTAGTAAACTTTTCAAGCCTTTCGTCGATCTTGTTTAGAGGCATGACCAAAATTTAACGATAGAATGCCATTCTTTCGTTTCCTGGGTGTTTCGTTTTTGCAGAGTTTTTCAGAGAATCTCATCCTAGCTGGGCAAGAAGTGGAAATGATACGGGGAGAAGCTTAAACGTCGCTTTTTGCATGGATGCGGCCGGCAGCTTGCGACTGCTGCATTTCGAAGAATCAGAAATATTCATATAAAAAAAAAAGGTTATCAACAAAAGATGATCACATGTACATTACAAAATGGTATATCTGATCTGTATTGACGTCAAAGATACACAGTTTTGCTATGGCGTTTTCAGTAAGCGCAATTGTCCTTTGTAAGGTAGCGGCGATGCGCAAAGGCTGTGGCTGTGCGGATGGGGGAAAGACGGAACGAAGCGACGAAGTAGCATCGGCAAAGCGACCTCTCCTCTGTTCCCAATATACAACAAGATCGCTCGCGATTAAGTAAGTCAAATAGGTTGACGCGCCCCGGCGAATTCTAAACATCAAGTGGCGAGTTTTCTCATCCACACAGAGATCATCAGTTTAATCATAGACGATCATTAAGGAACAGAGGGGTTTTTTTCGTGCTATAAGTGTAGTTAAAGAATGATAATTGATGATAAGCAACTGCCACCATAACCGTTTCTCCTTATTGCGATACGCGTAAACAATTACGCATCATCGTCATCAGTGGCGCTTATTGCGACAACCATAAAGCGTTACGCTAATGCGTCGCGTGTCATCGAGAACTTATCGGTTCATGACGTAATTACAACAAATTATCACTAAAAACCGCTACTTTATGGTATCGCCGGTTCATAAAGGAATCGAACCAAAACAGCAGGAGGATAGCCAGACAACATTCAAAGCTCCTGGAATTTGGTACACTACACGAAATTGGGATCAGCCTCTCAACGGAAGACAAAGTATGAATGATGATGAACGCGTCGACCAAAACGAACAGTTCACATATGACGCTGAATTTTCAAATCAGCAATGGAGTATTTGGTAGCGTCAAATAATCGAGTGATTGACACGAGTGCATGCGATGGGCGGAGTGCAAATGGGCGTGTGCATGAAAATGCTCTGCGCCTAGCTGGCTGTTCGCGGGGAGGGGCGAGAGGGTAGGACGACCGCCGGGAGGTGGCAATGTGGTGGTGGCCGCATGGTGGTGCTGTAGTCGTGCGGGCCGCCGAGGTGATGACGGCGGAAAGGCAAGACGGACGGGCCACCGCTTAGAGGGTTGACGAAGGGATAGCCCGAGAGTGATGTTGGCCGTTTCGCTCTCGGGACCCGATTGAAACTTTGACGACGATCGGAAAGAGTGTGTTCTTCTTACGCAGGCCGACGAGGGGGGCGAGGACAAACCTTGCGCGGGACATGGGAGGTGCGCAAAAGGGAAGACTCCGCGACCGACCGGGTTACTGTATCACGCTTCCTCAACACCTCGCATAAACACACACCCATGTTGAATCATGCCAAAACAAACAGGCATGCTGCCCAACTGGGCGCGGAGGGCAGCAGCGTCACAGCTGGGAGGTGAGGCTCATGCCCTGCTGAATCTAGCGTCAAGATCGAGTCAACTTCCCAGACACTCGGGCAACAGCGCGACAGATCAGTGTTACATAGGGAATCGCCTGCAAATCATGAACACGACCCACTAATAACAGATAAAATTTGCGCTAGTAAAACAAAAAGTTGCCGTGTTATCTTAGTCAGTTCGGAGGGAAAGATGGACTAGCCCTGGCATGGAAAAATAGTCAGAAAAGGCAACAGAACTCTACTTAGGAAGAACCACCCTTGGACGGTAAATAAATGCCAACCGGCCGGCCACACTACCCTAAACGAAATTAGCTGGATTTGTTGGAAAACTTCAATAAAATATGATTACTTTCTGAGAGACGTAATCATACCACCGTCAAAGCACATAACTGTGATAAACGGGTCGTAAACACGAGCAGACGGGGAGCGAGGGAGAGAGGGATGGGGCGCCCAGTATGGGAATAATACAACAACGAACAACTATAACTGCTATAGCTGCTAACATTAAAAGCTTTTCGAAATGGAGCTGAGTGACCGATGTGCTGGGGAAGTGAAATGAACGACTGGCAACTAAACATTTGTGAAGGTAAAACCAAGCAAATTGATATTATTCAGAGTTAAAGGAATAGGACAATGTCACGATTTCACGGGAAGAGACGCTGGTACTCAGAAAACTTGTCAAGTCAATCTTCGACGTTGTAAGTAAAAATGGTATCACTATATTGTACTGACTACCAGAAAAAAGTGAAAAAAGCAGATTTTTCCAATCAGGCTAAACACGAATCATTCCCAACTTCACATAGCGTTTAAGCTCGTTCAGGGCACCGCATTGTCGCTCAACTGTAACTGTAATAAGACAACTGGTACGAAAGATTTTAAACACTCGCAAGCGATAAAGTAGCGGCTCTTTAGTAAGCGTCGAAAGCACGAAAGATGTAGAACTGCCATTCGAAATATTCAAAACTGTTAGGATCGGCATGTGAGAATAAGTGACGAACAGCCGTAAAGATGATTTTGATGATTCGGTGAGATAGTACGAATGACGTTGACTTGATCTAACCTATCAGGACTCACAAATCGAACCAAAAACAATCGATACCTATTAAACAAACGATATTGTAGATTAACAGTGTAAAAGAGGAACATAACGCGTTCAATGCTTCAAATGTCTTCGCATTGAAAAGGTGAGATTCAGCTGGCGATAAGGGTGGCATAGACTTCCTACAGAGTCTCCTCGCATCACTCACAATGTTGACAAGCGGATATGAGAATCACAACTAGCGGTTTCATTATGGCCTCACTGTTCGTCCATATTTCCCCCATTCACATTTCCTCCCGGTTTTTTTATATTTCACTAACACTTCAAGCACCTTAAACTAAGCCGGCTAAGTAGTTCAGCACAGAAGACTCTTTCCGAATTTGAGCTGTACCAGTTAAGCAGAATCTATAATACTTATTACTATGATTTCATGACAATTGAAACGGAAGGGAAGAAAGAGGGAGGATGATGTTACGCTGCAATTCGACGACAAAACGGATCATAAACGAACAAACAAACAACAATATGGGCCTCGAAACAACCGCCGTCAGATTGGTGATAACTATCTTACTCTACTCTTTCTCTGGCTGGTTCAACATTCTCCGATCAAATGAACACCTTTCCCGGTCACTGTTCTCTAGCTACATCCCCGAACAAGACAGCTTCCGTACCCTCCTTTGCTTGAACAGAAGCCCCTTCAATCCGGGCCCATACAAATTACTGTATATCGCAGTAACAACCAACTTATTCCTGACACAATTTTCTTTTCACTAAAAGGTGCTAGATATAAAACATTTCCACAGCATTGAATACAAACAAGTACTTCTTAACAACGCAAATCCCCGGCGTTGATAAATGAGATCTGCAGAGAGACCTAATAATACGATATGGCTTAACAAAAACTCAACATAAACACTTTACAACAAAACTTTTCGTTTTTACAGTAATTTGGGTAGCGGTACTGGCACCGATGCCTGATTCCTGCGGCTCGCACTATGAACGCAGCCGGGGGCTACCTCAGCCGCCGTTCTTGGAAGCCTTTCCAATACGTCATGAATATACGATCAGTCACTGTGAATGGAAAAAGGCTGTGCTCTTGGGTGAAAAGTGTTGTGGGTGAATTCCTGCATCTGTTCATATTGGGTATGAGCACATTGGCGCTCCCAGAGATGCACGCGGCCAAGTGCGCGGCAATTTGGACGACTCCGGCGTTTGTTATTGGGGCGTGGGTTTGAAGTAGAGCAAAGGTAGTACGACCAGATGATCGTACTAATACTACGACATCAGGAAAATAAACTCTCCAAGTAAAGCCACAGTCGAGCATTCTGGAGGGATCTCAATTTGAGTAACCAAGGTTATGATTCATAACAAAGCTTGTTCCAAAAAGATTTTCAAGAACGAATCTAAAGCATGACTTCTTAACCGCTACAGGAATGAAATTTAGTTGTATACCGCTTACAATTAGAAACCTCATTACAGCTACAAATTATACTTTAAACAGTTAGAAGACATCACAAAAATTCGATTTCGACTCGATTTCTTGTGGACGCGAAAATGCCTCGGATCCTTCTGGTGCTACATGGATCGAATCACATTTGTATGAAAGAAGGCAAAAAGCAGCGGACTGCCGCTCAAAGTAAAGGAAGTAAAAGTCAGAATAGCAACGCTTCTCGAAGGGAATATGAAGCCCTCAAAATTAGCACTCTTTCGAGATTAATATTCACTAATA